CAGAGAGCGAGCCAGCCAGGAGTCGAACCTAGAATCTTCTGATCCAAAGTCAGATGCGTTATCCATTGCACCACTTGCCCACCGACAGAAGTGCCTCGCGATTGCACCAGACTTGTTGGTTTTCGACGTGACAAAGGCCAGAATTGCTGTCTAATTATTCTCATGCTACTATCAGGAGTGCAACAAAACCACCCATCACTGGTTGTCTAGTGTTTAGGATTCGGCGCTCTCACCGCCACGGCCCGGGTTCGATTCCAGGTCAGGGAATGCTCTTTTGCCTTCCAACGGTGGACTGTGAAGTGAAGCTCTGATTGCAGCTGCAAGAAACCCAGCCAAACAAGAAAAAATGTGGGCATTTGAAAATGTACCTCCTTCGAGCCAGAGTCGAACCAGCGACCTAAGGATTACCAACACTCCTACCAACAGTCCTCCGCTCTACCAGCTGAGCTATCGAAGGCACTGGCATTAAGACAGAACCTCAAACTATTAGGGATCTGTAGCTTTACTGCTGGCCAAAAATCACTTCTGGTGCAGGAAGACGTGATGGCTTTTTGAGGAGGGAAGCAAAAAGGAGCCCACCTTCCCATACCGGGAGACGAACACGGGCCACCGGGGTGAAAATCAGGAATCCTAACTGCAAGATCATAGGGGAACTGCCTTGAACCGGCCACAGACTTCTGGGCCACTTTCCATACGTGTGGCCAGTGTGGGGGCAGGGTTTTGTAGTGGCCTATGGGTTTTGGTGTGTGACTTTAACAATGTGAGAATAATTTAGCAAAACAAGAATTATCCGAAGGGATCGTTTACTGAATTAAATCGTGATGCATGCATTCAAGGGAACTGTTGCTTGACTCACCCAGAGGGTTCAGTTATTTGGCAGATTCCTGTGATTGCTGAATACATACCTCAAACTGGTAAATAAAGTCTTGTCCAGGAGAAAATACCCACTTCATGCATTCGAAAACACGCATTGGTAACCGTTCTCTAGAGGAAAGAATTATCCGAAGGAATCGTTTACTGAATTAAATCGTGATGCATGCATTCATGGGACCTGTTGTTTGACTCACCCAGGGGGTTCAGTTATTTGGCAGATTCCTGTGATTGCTGAATACATACCTCAAACTGGTAAATAAAGTCTTGCCAGGAGAAAATACCCACTTCATGCATTCGAAAACACACATTGGTAACCATTCTCTAGAGGAAAAACAGCCTATCGTCGATCTGTCAAGGTACAAAAATGACAAATTGTGAGATTAACAATGAAAGTGAGAGACATTTTAAATCAATTGTGAGATTAACAATGAAAGTGAGACACATTTTAAATCAGAAAAATTGCGGATTATTCGCTCGTTCAGTTTCATTTAGTTCACA